AAACAGACAAAACAAGTGAAGTCAGCAAAAACAAAGAAAAGTCTGCCCGTAACACCGACCCACCAGCGCAACACCTAAGACCTTCTTTTTCTCATGGATTAACATAGGGTTCACCATTTGGCTGAGGAAGGGAATCTCAGGAAGGCTGGAGCTGCAAGTTAACCAGTGTGGGGAGGGTAGATCACACTCAGATGCCGCCCTGCCTCCGCTGGGTGTCTGGGTCTCACTCACCTCCCCAGGAGGTGTCACGCTCCCCATCCCCTCCAAAAAAAAAAACCAGGTATGTTTAAGTCCTAGCTGTCAGCACCTCCGAAGTTAGGAGCCCAGTGTGAGAAGCCTGGTCAGGCACTGAGCGTGTCTTAATTTCCACAGAAGCAAAACTGCACATCCCTACCCCTGTACTGATCACGGGGACATCAGATGCATTCCTCTGGCCTTTGAAGGCAGACAGTGTGATCTCTGCTTTTCTCTAGAGTATTTATTGGTGATCTAAGCTGACATAAAATGCTACATCCTTATTATTCATCTTTCCTAATTGCTCCTCACATCTCCTAGATGGAGGGTGATAAAACTTCAATGCTCAGATTTTTACTTAGTGACTCATGTGGCCTATAGAATAAGCAAATGATTTTCCTCCACAAACTTGGACTGCATCGTTTTTTCTCTACCTATTAAGTTGGTTGACTATGCCAACCATTGTTTTAAATTTAATAGTACAGTATTCACTAAACATGATAAATGCAGCCTGGCTTCTCTTTCTCTTTTCTTTAACTTGCCCCTGAATCAGCTACAAGAAATGACTCTGGCCCATAAAATCGTTATGCTCACAAAGCAAACAGAAGGTCTAATCCTCTCTTCAAGATTCTTCACTAGGTCTCCCTATTTCCTGGATTGGACTCAAATTCCTGGATCTCATGTTCAAGGCCACCTGCCAGTTTGCCAACATCTGCTTCAGGCTATTTCTTCAAGACAGAATGTAAGTGTGAATGTCAGACATCGACTCTTAACAAGGCCTGCAGATGTAACTTCTGCCAAGAAGAAAAGATTTCGCGGAAACAATGGTGACTCAAGACTCTAGAAAGGTGTATGTTCCTCTCATTGTCAAGATAAAATTTCATAATTGACTCCTGAGTTAATTTCTCACTTACCTCCAGCAGAAGTTCTACTTGAATGACGTCTGAAGGATCAGACATTAATACAGAATTCTCTGGTAAGGATGGTTAGGTCTGGGCCAATTTGCAGAACTACTTACAGAAATGATCATCATCCAAAATTACTCACCTTGAGGACATTTCATCCTAGAGACAGTCCAGGGTACTCCAGGTAAACATGGAGCAACTGAAAAAGCGAACATCCCAGGATGAAATGTGACCTAGAGTGTTGGGTATAGCACACAATACAGCACAAGCTGAAATTTCTCCTGCTCAAAGTTGACATGTGTGTGTGTGTGTGTGTGTGTGTGTGCGCGTGCGCTCTCAAGCATGTCCAGCTCTTTGCAGAACCAGGCTCCTCTGTCCATGGAATTTCCCAGGCAAGAATACTGGAGCAGGTTGCCATCTCCCCCTCCAGGGGATCTCTTCAACCCAGGGATTGAACCCAAGACTCTTGAGTTTCTTGCATAGACAGGCAGATTCTTTACCACTAGTGCCACCTGGGAAGCCCAAAGCTAACCTAAATATTTTCCAATTGTTTAGTCCCTTAATATACTAGAGCTGTACCGCCCTGCATGTCAGACCATGTGTGCCTATCTAAATTTAAGTTCATTCAAATGCAGAATTCAGTCCCTCTGTGGCACTGGCCACGTGCCATGGACTCCATAGACATGGAGGGCTCATGGCTACTGGAGTAAAAGCACAGATAGAGAACATTTCCATCACAGAAAGTTCAAGTGGACAACACTGTTGAAGCCTCCACTCCCAGGTATATTGCAAATGATTGCCATCCTCCAGTAGGCCACTGTGGCATAAAGATCCTTCTGAGCTGAAGCCAATTAGGAAATAGCAGACATCGGAGAAGCTCTCTGCCCTCCACCTGGCAGCCACGGTGAGGGGCTGGCCCTCTGTCCCACCCGGAAGGGAAGGACAAGCTGTATCTCCAGAGATAGTGACAGAGCCAGGATGTGTCTGATAGACTAACCTTCACCGAGGAGCCCATGGCCCCAGAAGTGTCCCCAGGTGCCACCTTTCCACAGTGCTCCACCCCTGAAAGCCTAAAGCCTCTTTCCTTTGTCTCGTCATGTGTCCACAGCTTATCACCTTTTGTTAAAATGGCATATATACACCCCCTTCGCCGTCCCGCTCCTAATCATACTGCTTCTTTGGGTCTTTTTTTCTCTCTTTCATGGGAGAAAAATTAAAATATTAACAACAAGTAGAATTTGTTTTTCCTCCTGTTAATCTGTCTTTTTTCACTTTAATTCTCAGCCTCGTACCCTAATGGGCAGAGGAAAGGCTTTCTTGCCTCCATTACACAATTTGCCAAGAATAACTGAGAAACACAGCCTAATTTAGCAGAGAGGCTGAAACTTTGAGTTTGATGGAGCTTGTGTGTCTTAGGTACAGAGGATATGTCCAATCAGGTGACACCACCCTTCCAGGGGGTTTCTGTAATTTTATTCTGGATAAGAACTTCAATTGAAAAAAAGATGTAGGGGAGGTATTTTAATCTTATTCGGCACTTGCTCCATTTAAATTCTAGATTATTGACAAAACCCAACCACATTTCTGATCCTTTTATAGGACTTTAAAACAATAAGTCACAAACTAAACCAAAGATAAAATATAAGCAGAATGTATTACTAGATTAAGCATGTATGTTTCAAGAGCTGACAGAAACATTAGAGGCTATCTAATCTAATTTCAATTTTTGGTGATGAAAACTCTATGACTCAGAAAGTTTAGACACCTCTCCCAAATTCTCCAAGCCACTGTGCAGGAATTAGATATCTTATATCCAGACTCAACGCAGCTTGTGTTTTTTCTTTATGTTGTGATTATAGAAGAGGAATCATATTTTTATTTTATATATATATTATACAATTAAATAAAATTATATATAAAACTTTATATTTATTATTATATTTTTGTCAGAAACATGGGCCTTCTCAAGTCTTTGAGATTAGAGCTATTGAGAAAAGCCTGTCACTTCATTTACTGGTGGCTGATACATAAGTGTGCAAATGTGCACACACACAACAGATGTTTTATTTCCTCTCAGCCTAACTTCCTGATTAGGGATAAATAAGGTGAATTCCACGATCTCAGATTCAGCTCAGTGTGACTATTTGGTAAATGCAGGGAGAAAGGATGGAGAAATATGCTCCTGGATTTTATGTAGGAGAAAGTGAGACATACACAGCGTCCTCTGAAAACGTGACAAACCTGAGCAGGCTTTCATCATTGGAGTTCTTAATAATGATTCTGTTCCCTGATCTCATCAAACTGATCAATGAGAAGAAATTGCAGTGAAATTACAGAAGTTCATCCTCACCCTCCAACTGATGCAGCAATAGCTGAAGTAGATCAGTCATAGCTAAGCCGATCAATAGCAGAATCTAAGTTTTCACTGATTACTTTATTCATGTTTTTAAGAAAGCTGCTGAGGCACTTCCCTGGTGGCCCAGTGGCTAAGACTCCATGCTCCCAGCATAGGGGGCTGGGATTTGACCCCTGGTCAGGGAACTAGACCCCACATGCACCAACTATGATCAATTCAGTTCAGTCGCTCAGTCGTGTCCAACTCTTTGCGACCCCATGGACTGCAGCACTCCAGGCTTCTCTGTCCATCACCAACTCCTGGAGCTTGCTCAAACTCATGTCCATCCAGTCCACGATGCCATCCAACCATCTCATCCTCTGTCGTCCCCTTCTCCTCCCGCCTTCAATCTTTCCCAGCATCAGGGTCTTTTCAAATGAGTCAGCTCTTCGTATCAGGTGGCCAAAGTATTGAGAGTTTCAGCTTTAGCATCAGTCCTTCCAATGAATACTCAGGACTGATTTCATTTAGGATGGACTGGTTGGATGTCCTTGCAGTCCAAAGGACTCTCAAGAGTCTTCTCCAACACCACAGTTCAGAAGCATCAATTCTTTGGCACTCACTTTCTTTACGGTCCAACTCTCACATCCACACATGACTACGAGGAAAACCAAAGCTTTGACTAGACGGACCTTTATTGGCTAAGATCTGGCGCCGCCAAATAAATAAAATAAATACTTCTTTAAAAACAAAAACAAAAAACAGTCCCCAGGGACCGGCAGAGGCCAGCCCGCGGGTGGACCGGGCCGGGATCAGGAACCCCGGGAAGTCGGGAGCCCTGCGGTGGCGCGCAGCCCAAAAGTCCGCAGAGAGCGGGACGCCAGCGGCCGCGCGGGGGCGACTGGGAGCCCGGAAGTCCGCCGTGGGCTGCGGTCCCCGAGGCGGCGCGGGGACTGCCGGGAGCCCGGAAGTCCGCGGATGGCGCTGGGTCCCGGCTGCCGGGCGGTCCGGGGCTGCCGGCCAGGTAAGCGCGCTCCCGGCCTTCCGGGGCATGGCCGTCCGGGCAGGGGCCGCGGTCGCCAGCGCCGCCGTGGTGGCGGTGCTCTCGGCCGCGCTGGCGCTCTACGGGCCGCCGCTGGATGCAGGTACTCGGCCGCGGGTCCGGGCGGGGGGCGCCGCCGTGGGGGCCCCTGGGCGTGTGGAAGGGGGCCGCCGAGGGCCCGGCCTCGGCTGCTGAAGAGGAGGGCGGAGGAGCAGGGTGAAGCGGCCGAGCGCGTCCTCGGTGTTCGGAGTGTTTGTTCCTCATGAGCCTGAGGAGAGGGTCTTCAGGGCGTCTGTGGGCCTGTCGCCTCCCTTGTGACGACGGCGTGGGGAGCCTGCTGCCCTCCGCCGTGGCAGAGGGGCGCTCTGAGCCAGGCTCCCCCCTAAAGGGGCCGGGCCGGGGAGACGCTCGCTGGCCGTGCCCCTCGTCAGCGGGCACCCCGGGGCAGAGCCGTGGGGGGCTGTGCGCCCCAGTTGCCTCAGCTGCGCTCCCTCAGGCAGGCCAGCCCAGGCCCGCCCCCGCCACGATTTTCTGTTGTTGTCGGTCTCTGTCTGTCTAAAATCCATACACGCTGCCGTGGTCTAGCAAGAGTTCTCTTTGAGTCGTCTTGAGGTTTCATCATTAGGCGGACCTGCCGGACTTTTTACCAGAAAAAGAACCAGCAGTTCAGGTCAGTGACTTCCCCTCACGGCCTTAGGGCATCTCCAGGTTAATTTGAAGATTGTTGTCAGGGGTTCCACATTAGCCACAGTTCACTTGGAATTGCTGAGATTGCACAGTTGTGAGTGGCAAGTAATTCTAGAAAACAGCCCAGAGTAAAGAAATCTATTTAACTCTCCTCGGCCACATACATTCGTTGAACACAAACAAAAACCAGACAGGTTTGACCTGTTCCTCCAGATTCAGAATTGTGTGAAGACAAATTGCTTAATGCGGTAAATTTCAAGTTGCCTCTCCTCAAGGCCTTTTTATCCTTAGGTTTGTGGTGTGTATGTTTCAGTATTTCTGTGGGAAAGTCCAAATGGTGTATATTAGAGAGCTAGCTGAAACTTGCTTTTCTCTGGAGTGTAGGGAAATTTTATTGATCTTCCTTTGGCTCTTTCAGGAACACAAATTCATCTCAGCTGAATGTTATGGATGAGCAATGTGGGTTGTGCTTTGCATTCATACAGTTGCAGTTAACTAAAACTACTGTACTTCTCAACAGTGATATGCTTCTTTTTTTTTTTACCCATCACAGATTGCTTTCAGAAGGCACATGAGAAGGATTTGACTTGTCTTTTGGTTGGTGGTGTGATTGATTTTTTGTAAAAATTAAATTTTTTTTTCTTCCTGAAAATGACAGCATTTTGGTGAAACGGTGTGTTCTGCCCAGGCTTATCCATTCATAACCATGGCATCTTTGCAGTTCTGTCTCTGAGTCTCAGTTTCCTTGTCTGTAAAAGAAGGATAAGCTAGCTTCTGGTGAAGAGTGAACCACGATGCCTTTACTTCATCAGACATTTACTGAGTGGCTTATTTTGTGCCAGACTCTGCCCAGGGTGGTTGAGGGTGGAGTCCAGCCCTTGAGTCACAGGTGGGAACCCTGCCTACAGCGCTCTGCAGAGGTAGAGTGGTAGTCTTAGGGGTGTTTTGTGTGTAGCTAGGTGCTTAGATTAAAGTAATGGTGACTGATAAACGCAGAACATTGTAAGGACCCCAGAGTAAACCTCGAGTGACTGTTAGGTTTGGGTTCAGCGTCCATCTTTAGAAAGCACCTGTGTTTACTGTTCTGGGATGTTTGGAGGGGCAGCCATTCTCTGGTGGGCTCTCATTGACCAGTCATGTTGAAACAGGTGCCTGGAGAGCACCTTGACCGCACAGCCGTCAGTGGTCCGCAGGGCCGCCCTTAAATTCTCCTGTAACAGCTCAGGTTCCTGTCCTGCAGCTGGCTGCGGCGCCCACGCGGGCGTGTCTCACCGCCACTGTGCACGGTGGGAAGGCAGCGCGTGGCTGGGAATCCGGGGCGCAGACGGGACTGGGGGGAGGGGAGCGAGAGCTGGGTGTTGGCCCAGCACCTCGGCGGCGGGTCAGGTTGGGCTGGAATCAAGGGTCAGTGGCTAGGCTGACGGCTGACCAAGCCTTCTTGTGCCTTTTCATGGCCACAGGTTTACAGTGGTTCTATTTGGAGTTTTAATCCTGTGTTGACTTGAAAGAAAGTGGGAAGGTGTTTGATTGGATGGTAATTAATATTCTTTTTACATCTTGGGTCTAAGCATCTGATGTATCAACTAAGGAGGCATTTACATCTACTCACTAAAGAATATTACTTGAATAATTTTTGTTGAATGAAAAGTAAAACAGTACGAGCAATATTAAGATAAAGCTGTTTTACCACATGGAGCTGAGTCAGCTTCTGGTCTTCACTTGAACTTATGACCCACGTGTAGTTTTTCTCCACTGCTGAGATAATGGGAAGATAAAAACATTGGATGCCTTTTTTGTGAAAGTATTGTTCGTATCAGCAAAGATCCTGTAATTCTAAAGAAAATGCGTGCTTTATTATCTGTTCATACATTGGGCTCTACAGAACATAGAATTTCTCTCACAGTTGAGATGTTTTAAACAACATGGCAAAACATACAGCACAGGAAGTTTTTCAAGAAAGACTGATTAAAATTAGCTGTTTATAGACAGTTCAGGGATCAGACTATTTTAAAATTCCACTTTGGGGACTTCCCTGGCTGTCCCGTGGTTAAGATTCCATGCTTCCACTGTGGGGGGGCCCAGGTTCGTTCTTGGGTCAGGGAACTAAGATCCTGTGTGCTTTATGGCATGGCCAGAGAAGTGAAAAACCACTTTGAGCCCAGTGTTAGATGTGTTCTTCCTTTAGAATGCCATTTCCAGGCTGATTAGATACTTGGTCAGTAACTAACTGAGCATGGGAGCTGAGACTAGAGAACTAAGCTGGGAAGGACGTGAGCCTGTCTGGCTTGAAGACAGTGGAAAGTAACAAAGAGGGAGACAAGACCTGATAAGCTTGCAGGATTGTGTAGCTCAGTAAATAATAGTGGAGTTAGGAAAGCTTTCTGAAGGGTTAAGTAGACTTCGAAGACTTCTGATACATTTCAAAGTAAATCTGGTACTTAACCATATGTGTTAAGTGTTGTGTTGTTATTTCTAAACCTCATTTTCTTATGGAAATGAAATAAACCACTGAATAAAAGTCTGCAGCATTCATGTTAAGTCAGCTTTGGGAAGTATTTTGATTAGTGTCTCTTTTTTATATATATTGATAGCTGTTTACCTTTCTGAACATTTTCCTGTTTTTCAGTGTTAAAAAGAGCATTTTCGCTGCATAAAGCACACTCAGTAAAGGACATGGAAAATACTTTACAGCTGGTGAGAAACGTGGTACCTTCTCTAACCACCAAGAAGCACAAAGGGCAGGATGGAAGGATCGGTGTGGTGGGAGGCTGCCGGGAGTAAGTGATGCATCATCCACCCGTCCATCTGTCTGTCGATCAGGAATCATTTCCAAGTTTCTGCTGATACTATGACAGTATTTTTCCATGAGGAACATTTGATTGAACAGCAGAGAAAGCAGGGGCCCTGACTGGGTGAGGTGACCGTGGCCTCCGCTCGCCGTGCTCTGCCCCGTGGGTCTTGCCCCTGGGGCACTGGCTAGTCCAGGGGCTCTGGCCTTGAGCACACTCCCTCTCTGCAGAGTCCTTTGGCAAACTCTCCCTGGCTTCTCAGACCTCCGGAGTTTTTGTTTTTTGGTTTTCCCCCAACACGCATCCCCACCCGTCCTCCTTGCCAACAGAACCCCAGTCCTGTTCAGTTGGTGTGGCATTTTCTCTTACTTGTACCTGTGGGCATTTCCGGTAAATCCAGTGCTTTCTGTGTCTGTGTTAGTCTAGAGAGAAGTGTCAGCTCTATAATATTAAGTCGTCATCAAGTGTATATCTCTGCTATACTTTAATAGGTTTAAAATTTTTCCCTGTAGAGTTACCATGTGTTTTTATAAGGTTAACTCCTAGAAAGTTTATGATTTTTGCCAATATTGTAGATGCTATTATATTTTCCAATTAATTATTCCTGGAATTGAAAAGTTTTTTTCAGTTGATGGAAATCTTGCTGAACTAGTATGTACTAGGAGATAATTTTTCTATTGAGGTCTGGATAATGCTTGCCTCATTCTGACTTTAGACTGTAAATATTTCCTTAGGTACACTGGAGCCCCCTATTTTGCAGCAATCTCAGCTCTCAAAGTGGTATGTTTGCTTATAGCTTCTTTGTTAGGATTTTTTTAGTGAAAGTGTCGGATCGTTTAAATATGACTGCAGCAGATGTTTTCTGATAGAAATCTTGGTACCGTTTCAGGAAACCTTGGGTGAGAGACACCTTTTAATCTACCCTGACCTTTTGTGTAGCCACAGGGTAACTCAGATGGGGACTCATTTTTCTCTTAAAGTTTTATTAGAAGTGCCCCTTGCCACAGTGATCCCGGGCTGCCTTTTCAGGCCTCGCACAAGCAGTGGACACCTTTTCACCGTGGCCACTGCCCGGGCATTTTGATCTCGCGCATCCCGAGGGCCTGGTGACCCGGGGATCTTAAGGTGGACCCTGCAGCCCACAGACCTCATGGTGACGCCGTCTGGCTGGTGGTGACCTGCCCCTTGTTCAGCCGCTCAGTCGCGTCCAGCTCTTTATGACCCCCTGGACTGCAGCACACCAGGCTCCTCTTGGGTGGCAGCAGTGTCCGCCTTTCATTCCAGGCCTTTCCCAGGCTCTGCCGCTGGCCAGGGCCTTCTCAGCCGCCTCCTGGCGGGGTCGAACTGCAGCAGTGGGCACTCCTGTGGACCGTGCTGGGGTTGGGGTGGTTGTAGCCGGGCCACGCGCTCTGGGCGTCTGTCAGGCGAGTCCTGCCTGAGCCGCTTGCTGGGCCCCTCCCCAGGGCGCGGACCTGTCCCACGTGTTCTGCACCCAGGAGGCCGCGCCCGTGATCAAGTCCTACAGCCCGGAGCTGATCGTGCACCCTGTCCTGTGAGTGGGGCGGGGCCACAGGCGTCCCCGGACAGGGGGCGCGGGTGCGCATCAGGCAGGTGCAGTTGTTCGTAGGCTGGTGGTGGGCAGTGGCATAGGCGTGGTGTCCGGTGAGGCCCGTGGACACGGGGTGGGTGGGGAAAGGGTGTAGGAGCTCACGCTGGAGGCACTCTGCGTGGGTGCTCAGGCCAGGCCAGGCGACCACAGAGGCTCCAGGCCACGCGGTGCAGGTCGTGAGCGTCATCGTGAGGGCTTTGGCTTTGACTTACATGAGACAGGGGAGCCCACAGTTTTTTCAAGTGCCCGCCTAGCTTTGTGAACTTCACAGAGGTTCTGTGGAGTCTCAGGCTTTTAAAGGCTCGTCAGGCCACTGTGTTGAGATTAAGCCCTTGGGGCCCAGGAGTGGCAGGGGTCCCACCGGGAGGCTCTTGTTGGGTCCTGGGGGCACCCTGTGGAGGAGAAGGGCTGGGTGGATGGTGTTTAAAGCGGGAGGCAGGGGTGTGTGTGGGTGGGAGGGCCTGGTGTGCAGGCAGCAGGGAGCAGACAGGGATAGGGGGTGGTGGGCATGGAGGAGGCCAGGAGGGCATCCTGGGACAGGAAAAGCACCCTGGGGGACAGCTGCCAGACGTCTGTAGTGTCATCAATAAAGGAAACGAACACATGAAAATAAGCCGTTGGTGTCTCCTCCTTGTTCAGAGACAGCCCTGATGCTGTCCGCGATGTGGAGCAGTGGCTGCCCCGACTGCACGCCCTGGTGGTGGGGCCTGGCCTCGGCAGAGACGACGCTCTTCTGGAGAACGTCAAGGTAGCCTGGGGCTCTCCCAGGAGACCGCTCTGATCGCGGGAAGTCGGAAGCGCATTGTGTTTCCTGTGCCGCTCGTGGTGGAGGAATTGGGGTTAGGGGACAGAGGAGGAAGGGGAATGAGGAGAGACGCATGTAGAACAAGACCGTGCTGGGTGGGTCCTCTCTGGGGCACGGGCCCTCCTGCTGTGGCCTGGGTGGTACTGCGGGTCCCGCTGCGATGCGGGTCCCAGCCTGGGCCAAGCGGCGTTCACGGTGGCCCGGCTCAGGTCAGGCTCGTGGTGCCCCGTCGCTGGCAGCCTGCTCGGCTTGTGGTCTGGCACTCCCGTGAGGGCGGTGTGCCTCCAGTCACAGAGAGCCCTGTCTGCGGAGCGCCCTGCAGGGGCCCGGTAGGCATGGGACTCGGAACAGCTGGTACTGGGGGCGTCCTTGTCACTGTGACCCAGGGGATGTGATGATTGCAAAATGTTGCAGTCGTGATGGCTACAAACTGTACGCTTTAAATGAATAAATTGAATGGCATGTAAAAATCTCAGTAAAATTCAAAAAAAGCAATTTCCTTGCTACATGACCACCTCAGGGATGTAATTTAGTTTCTCTGGGATTCAGTTTCCTGCTTTTCTTTTCAGCAATTTTAGCAAAATTTTTACGCATACAATTCATTCATTCAAAGTGCACAGTTGCATGGCTTCTAGAGTATTCGCAGAGTTTGCAGCCACTGCCACAGTCAGTTTTAGGACAATTTCATGAGGCCAGAAAGAGCCTCATTCACTGTTAATGGTTATCGTCACTCCTTTAAAAACACGAAATGTGACTTAACGAGAGTGCATGAAAACAGAAGAGCCGGACGCTTCTTGAGACGTCAGTTTCTGACCCTGAGCCCCGAGGGTCCATAACTGTTAGGATTTGGAGACGCCAGCTTGGGGTCGGCCTCCATGGGCCGGCGTGGGACCCAGCAGCGGTGGTCATCCCGTGGCTTGTGTGCTCAGGGTCCCATGCCGGCCCTGCAGAGGGGCTTTTCTGATTGTGTTTTGCACTTGCTTTATGATTTCCCACGTGTGTGTTGATGGCCTGGTGTGGAATCCGTCAGAACTGCTGTTTCTTTCAGCTTTCCTCAGGCGACGGGCTCAGTGCTCAGCTGCCTTCCTTTCTTGCAGGGCATTCTAGAAGCGTCCAAGGCCAGGGGCGTCCCCGTGGTCATCGACGCAGTGAGTGTGGCCCCTGCCCCTCTTCACCGCAGCCCCCATGGCCGCCCCCGAGTGACCTGAGTCCTCATCTGCAGGACGGGCTCTGGCTCATCGCCCAGCAGCCGGCGCTCATCCAGGGCTACCGGAAGGCGGTCCTCACCCCCAACCACGTGGAGTTTGGCAGACTGTCCGAGGCTGTGGTGAGTCAGCCAGCCACCCAGGTGGGCGACTGCATGCACTCCAGGGCATCCTCCGGTCAGCGTCCTTGACGGGGTGAAAGCTGGGTGGTGGACTCGGGTCAGCCCAGCCTCCAGGCCCTCCAGGCAATCACTTCATCCCTGCCCTGCGTCCCCTCCTCTAACAGGTGGGGTGGGATAGGGTCTGCGTCACAGGGTTTGTGAGAACGAGATCAGACCGCACGCTGACCCCACAGCACGGGGTTAGGCGCTGCCGCCTGCACGCTGCTGAGAACCTGAGGGTCGGCCAGCACGGCTCCTCCACACGTGCGGCTCCGCCTCCGTGGATTTAGCCAGCCTGATTGTGAGACAGCCCACGTGTAAGGACTGCGCCATTCACACGGAAATTGTTGACGGGTCAGCTGCGTCTGTCCACCCAGCGTCCTTACGTGTTCGTGCCCACGCATGTCGCTCTTCATCCTTCTGTGCTGTGTCACTCGGGCAAACCTGCAGGCTCCCTGCCATGGGCCGGGGGCCTGACTCTGCTGGGACAGGTCGGGGCGGGCGCCCTGCGGTGTTTCTGCCCTGAGCGCCGTGTTGGTGTCTGCCTGGAGTGCGGGTGGCCTGGGCCTCAGGGCCGACCTCGGTCAGCAAGTGCCAGACAGGCCCCCAGACGAGTCGGGACCTGGGCAGACGGGCTCTTTGTATCCAATGAGGATGTATCTGTGGTCCTGTCTAGCTGGGGGCGCCCCTGGATGGTGGAGACCGTCATGGAGCTGTGCTGAGACTCAGCCAGGCCCTGGGCAACGTCACCGTGGTGCAAAAGGGGGAGCAGGACGTGATCTCTGACGGCGAGCAGGGTGAGTGGCCGCAGGCCTCACACCGCGTGTCGGCCGGCTGGTACGGCCACGCTGGGCACCAGCCCCAGGAGGTCCGCTTGTCCACAACCTCAGGAAGCCTGTCTGTCCTGTTTCTGAGTGTTCTGTGCGGGGAGGTGGCCGCAGTGGGGCGTGCTGGCCCGGGCTGACCGTGGCCTGGCGGCTGACGCTCCGTCCCTGCTGTGTGCGATGGCCCAGGGAGGGCTGCCCCCTCACTGCAGATAGACGCGGGTGCCGAGTGTCTCCCGGCTGCTCGTTCAGTCTTATAGCAGCGCCCGGAAAGTGGGGACACCACGAAGCGGCCGGGGGTGCAGGAGCCCTCAGGCACCAAGCGCAGCCTTGGGGGCCGCCTGCCCGTGTCCTCCCCCGGGGCTCTGGGCGTGAGGCCTCTGCTCCCCGCAGAGTCCTCTCGCCGTCCCAGTCCCCCAGTGGTATCGCACTCACACTACACACACGCACGCACTCACACACCACACACACGCACTCACACACTCCATACACATGCACTCACCACACACACTCGTGCACACACATGCTCACATGCACTCACACTACACACACACTCCATACACATGCACTCACCACTCAGGCACATGCACGTGCACACACACACATGCATGCACCACACACGCTCACAGACACCACACACATGCACGTGCACACACGCTGCACAGGACATGCAGCGAGCATTCTCCGAGGGACCCTGAGTTCTTCAGGCCATGGGTTCTTCAGATGCTAGAAGGTGCTCTGAACCCTGACACAGTCAGAGTCACTATGGCTTCAGACACTTTCGAAGAAATGGAAACTTCTCACAGTGCAGACAAGTCCCAGCTGGGGCGCCACCAGCTCCGAGTCTCCGGGCGGACTAGGTGCTCTGGGGGTGGGCGAGCTTGTCCCCTTAGACCCCGGGTGCTGGTTGGGGGGCGGCCTCCTGCCATGCTGGCCTGGAGAGGCGGCCGTGTGGGGACGGCGGGGGGAAGGAGTGGAGGGTGCCCCCAGCGTGTCCTCTTCTCCGCAGTGCTTGTGTGCCGCCAGGAGGGCAGTGGCCGCAGGTGCGGGGGTCAGGGGGACCTCCTGTCTGGCTCCCTGGGAGTCCTGGCGCACTGGGCCCTCCGCGCGGGCCCTGGGAAGACTGGCGGGTAAGTCCCATCTCATCCCTCCTGTTTGAGCAGCTCATGCGTATAGTAAGGAGCAGACTGGAATGTTCCCGGAGAAACACCGGTGTCACGGGGAGGGCTCCCAGGGCCGGCCAGGTTGATTCCTGATGCTGGTCTGGCTGCAGGAAGCGGCCCCATCCCCCTGGTGGATGGCCTCCGGGGCACCGATGGTCCTCCCTGCTCCCATCCCTGCTGGAGGGAGACGCTGCCTGGGGCTCTGTGGTGCCTGCTCTCAGAACAGCTGTCGTGGGGGGGACACGGGGGTCAGGGCAGCTCCTGTTGGCAGATGTCTCCACGAGGCGGCCGGGCTCTGAGCTGCGGGGCCCTCCCCACACGGTGTAGAGGGAGCTGGGGCACCCCCACCCCTTGGGACCTAGACCTCTGCTCTCTGCACCCATCCTGGCCACAGTGACAGCGCCAGCCTGCAGGGTCACTGCACACCCGCGGGGTGTGTGCAGACAGCGTGCTGGCAGGTCCAGTGACATGGTTAGCAGGTGTCCCTGGGGGGTCTCAGTGACATAGTGAGCAGGTGTCCCGGGGGGGTCTCAGTGACATAGTGAGCAGGTGTCCCACGGGGTCTCAGTGATGTAGTGAGGTGTCCCTGACCTCAGCATCCTCCAGGTCCTAGAACATGGCTGGCCAGGTGCTGTATGTGGTCACCTGGGGCAATGGCCATGTCAACCCTTCCACACGCACAGCTGTTTCTGATGCTTGTCCGTCGGGATCGTCCACATCCCGGTTACTGGATGTGTTCACTGTAGGGAGGCTGTCTCAGAGGCCCTTAGATTCGAGCTTGCCAGTGTGGGTCCCGGGGCGGCAGGCAGGACGCACGGGGTGCGGGGCCGCCCCTGAGACCTCTCCCCACAGGCCCAGCCCGCTGCTTGTGGCCGCCTTCGGCGCCTGCGCCCTCACCCGGCAATGCAGCCAGCAGGCCTTCCAGAAGCACGGACGCGCCACCACCACCTCCGACATGGTCGCCGAGGTCGGGCCCGCATTCCGCAGGCTCTTTGAGGCCTGAGCCGGAGCCGCTGGAGGGTGGGTGCCGTCCAGCCAGGTCCCCCGAAAGGTCTGCGCTCTGCAGGTTGACACAACGCCAGTTTGAAGCATAGCACTTTCTGCCGAAACTGATACGGAACGGTGTTGGTGAACTTTCCTCAGCCTCTCTGCAGCGTCAGAAAAGAACACAGAGAATAACGTGACGAGACAGTCTGACGGTGCCTCAGCCGGACTGTGGGCTCCGCGCTCCACTGCTGCCTGGAGCGGACCCTGTGTCTGAGCGTCATGTTCCTGCGAGAAGGGCCCTCGTGACTGGGCCTCTCGGGGGTCCCGTCTCTCATTCCCAAGTGTGTGTGAATCATGTTTTCTAAGTTGAGGTCCCGCAGAGGCTGTGGTGTTCATTCTTTAGCTCATTTTTACATTTTAAATGGTAATTAGGTCAGACACATCTGGGCAGAAATATTCAGCATCAGTTGGTTAATTGGCTGAAGTGTTCCGGAAAAGTCAGCGGTCTGTCAGCACTGGAGATCCTGTAGGCCCCTGGGAAACCACCGAACGCAATGATGCACCCCGGCCCGAGTGTGCAGGGCGACTCTGGGACACCTCACTTTCACGTGTCCGTGCAAAGGCATGCATGGTGACGGGCCCCTGTGGGGAGGGGCGCCCAGGGCTCCCAGGTCAGGTCCCAGGTTGGGGGGGGGGGTGTCGTGTTCTCAGGAATGTTCTGAACACGTCGTCTCTGCGCTGTTTTCTCACCGGCTTCGGGTCAGCCTGTGTGGTCCGCGCTCAGTGGCCCGTCCTGTTTCTCCGGGGGGGTCAGTCACAGCATGTGCCCTTGAGTGCATCAGCCACGCGCTTCTGTGGGGCAGGCCTGACTTGTGTCCATCTGTCCTCAGCGATCCCTGCTCTGTGGTTGCACAAAAGATCCCGCTTTCTTTGAACAGCTTGGACTTCAGATTTTTTTAAGGTTGTGGATCACTTACATCTAATCATAGAAGAGCCTCACTACTGTCACAGACCTTTCTTCCTTAGGGGAATTACACCTAAATCATGGTCGTTATTAAAAGGCAGACGTGGTTGATTTCACTGGAGAGTTGTGTATTTTTTTCTCAAACAGCCAGAATTCACCTTCAGTTTGGTCCTCAGCGAGGATGTTCTTAGACACGAGGGGGGTGGATACACAGATGCCCAGCCAGCTGACGGTATGGCTCACGGGCGCCTGTCATGCTGCTGAGGTGAAGTGATCAGCCTGGAATACAGCAGCTTCTCTCCGCAGGAGACGTAAGGCAGCAGTCACAGGAACCACTGCGTCTGTGAGTCCCTCTGCTTGACGGGGCAGCTGGGCGATGCTCCTGGCTCCTCTGCAGACCCAGGTGTTCACCAGCTCCAGGCGGGATACACCCCCCAGGAGAGCAGCACTCGGCGCAGGCCAGGCTCGGCCGTCAGCCAGTCCCCCCCAGGACTGAGCACCTGTCTCCATCAGGGGCCTGCCGCCTGCCCTCAGGGGGGTTTTCACTGCTCCTCAGGGTCCCTCCTCTGTAGAATGAGGGCCCCTGCCTGTCGGGGCAGCAAGGTCAGTGAAGAACTTAACGTGGCTGCCAGGCGGTCCTGCTGCCCGGGGCGGAGCCATGGACCGGTTCTTGATGGCCCAGGGGCCCGGCTGAGAGCTGAGCGGCAGGCGGTCCCCCCGTTTCCTGTCGGCGCCCTGCACAGCTAGGGCTCCCCACCTACATGAGCAGGGAGACATGGCGAGGCCGCCAGCCAGCTCGGTCCCTGCTCACCCTGCCGGCTCCCACCGCGCCACCCAGACACCCACCCTCACACAGCCCTGCCCCGGGGCGTCTGCTCACAGTGGTACCCCAAGAACCCAGCGCTGAGGGAGCGCGGTGCATTGGAGCTGGACGCCTGCTGGGGTTTTCTCTGGGAAACGTGTTAGTTTGTTACCAGACACAGCAGATGGAAACCCACAGGCCCAGGCCTGTCACGCAGGGTCCAGGTGACCCTGGGCAGGGGTCCCGCCCACCCCCGCACCCCCAAGGTTGTCTCCCAGGAGCCCGTGTGGGGCTTCCGTCCTGTCTCCTGGCTGAGAGCTCACCAAACTGCATCTGTGCCATCCGTGCTGAAAGGAAACCCTTTTCAACACCTACTCACACCAAGGGGTGAAGTGGGCTTGGTTTATTTTAAGGGAAAACAGCCACAACAGCACCTTTCACATGACACTTTACTGTGACTTAAGGGCACAGAACCCTGTCAGACCACAGCCCCGCGTCCCCCGTCCTCAGCTCCTGGGTGTGGGGTCCTCTGTCCTCGGATCCAGCAGCTCCCACGTGGACGAGCTGCTCCTGTCCTAAGGAGGCAGACGGCCCCAGGTGGGTGGAAGGGCAGGTGTCGGGGGTCAGGGGCAGGCCCTAGCCAGGGGCGGGTGTGCTCCCGGGAGAGACACCGGCTGAGCCCCGGCCCCGCGGAGCGCTCACCTTGATGCTAATGCCGTGGACCGCCAGGTCTCTGCGCAGCTCGTCGCAGGCCTCCAGCAGGGGCCGCCGCTCCAGGAGCCGCTGCCGCCGCGCCTCCCCAGAAACCTCCCCAGAGGCCAGAGCGAACTGCCGGACCTTCAGCCGGAAGCGGACCAGCTCCTCCACCAGGCTGTGCAGGGCGGCCGGGCTGCCCGCCCCTGGAACACCCTGAGGAATGGGGGGGGGTGTCCAGGTGCGAGCGGGGCGAGTGGTGTGTGCGGAGGTGTGAGCCGGGTGTGCAGGCGTGAGCGGCTATGAACCAGCATCCGAGGGGCTGGGGCGCATCTTCTCCGCCCTTGCCCCATCTGGAGGTGCCAGCGTCAAGGTGTCACGACGCGAAGGCCCAGGAAGGCTCAGATGGGGGGACCAGAGGCTGGGGCTGGACAGCCCTCGGGACGGAGCTGGGCCTCTGCCATCCCAGGGACCTGACGGGTGGAGCCGGCAGTGCTCCCCGCAGCTGCTGTGTCCACCGGGGGGGTCCCTACAGGACACAAGGGGCCCATAGCACGCCACGGCCGCTGGTCTGCTCAAAACCTCGTCATTGCAGCTAGCGCGTGCTAGCTCTCACTGTGCGCATGCGCCTTTCAAGGACAGTGATACGTCTTAAACGTGTAGGAAGTTTGGCCTTATAATTACGCATTAAAATCAGCATTTAGGAAGGGAGGAAGCGTCTGTTACATGCAGGCACGTAGGTGAAGTCCCGAAACTGAGGACTGAAAAGAGAAGGCAAGCATACCTGTCGCTCGGCCAGAGAAATGCCCACTGTTTCAAAGAACTGCTCCACGGAGGCCACGATGGCTCCCAGCACGGCGGGGCTCCGGGGACCACGGGGCTCCTGTGACAGCCACCGGGGAGGGCGCTCAGAGACCAGAGCGCAGCCCCCACAGGTCAGCCCGGGCGGGCGGGAGACGCAGCCGCCAGGGAGGCCGGGCGTGTGCTCCGCGCGCCTGTGCCGGCTGGTGGCCCCCCGGGTGTCACGAGGTCATGAGTCTCTGCGCGGAGCCTGGCCCGGGGCGGGCGGGGGCTAGTTGGGGTCCCACCGCGATCCCCTCCCCCAGCTCACATCGCTGTGACCTACTCAGACCCCACGGAGCCCGCGAGGCAACGGCAGGTCCCAGGCTCCTGTCCACACAGGCCCCCTGTGCCTGCCCGGGGAGGTGGCTGCTCGTGGGGAGCGCGTCCCGGGAGTTACCTCGGCGGCCGCCTTCAGCTGCCTGTTCCCGTGGTGGACGAGGTCCATGACGGCGTCCACCGCCCGCACCGTGTCGAAGTCGTCCGCCAAGGCCGCCCGCACGGCCCCCTTCGTGCGGCCCAGCCTGGGGGAGGAGAGCGCGGGGCTGTCGTCTGCCCCATCCCCCCTTCCCCGCACTGTCAGGACCCCTGCGGGTCCCTCGCTCACACTTCCCACATGCCCACACGCCCGCACGCCCGGCCGTCACCGGCCCCTCAGGGCGCTGCCTCCTCCCTGCTGTCCGTCCCCCCAGACCCCCCGCTTCCCGGGCACAGGGCAGGCCTGGCAGACCCCTCGAGCGACCCTGAAGGGGAGACAGACTGCTGTGCGTGCTCCGGCACCTGGCGGGCCTCCGCGGACGGACACACAGACTCCCGGCTTGCCTGTGAGCAGGTGGCCGCTGCCTGCCCACCCCCTCGCCTGGGGGGCCCGTGGCTGATGGCTCCCGACCTCGCAGGCCAGGCGCTCGGCTGTGCTGCGCTCCGCCGCGGGGGCCAGCAGACCGCTCCCCCGTCTCCTCCTAACGTCCTTCCTGCCCAGCCCCGGAGGAGTCCGGGCTCGCCACTCTCCACGGTCCTCGGGGAGGCGACGCCAAGCCCCCAGACCCAGTGGCATCCGCCTCTGGTGGCCCGAGGGCCCCCTCCCCTCTCGCCCCCATCATCTCCCCAACTTCGCACCGTCCCTGACGTCAGCCGCAACCCCCCTCCCCGAGTCCTCTGCCCGAGGCCGGCCCGCTCCCCACCCGCCCCCACGCGCTCACTCCTCGGGGCCCCCCTGTGCACCCACCTCTCCCACAGCACGTCCTCCTGGACGGGGCCGCCGGCCAGCTGCCCCCTCATGTAGGCCCGCGCGTCCTCCGCGAAGGCGGCCGTGGCCCGCAGCAGGCGCCTGGCTTCCAGCAGGGCACCCTCGCTGTAGTCGACGGCTGCAGTGGGGGGGGGAGATGGGGGGTGGGTAGGGGGTCACAAGGCCAGCCTCACCCGCGGGGCCGCAAGGGGCCGCCCCCTCTGACCCTGGACACCGGGGGTCGGCTGGGGGCGGCCCCGCTGAGGCTGCTGGTCAGGCCCTGGGTCCGCTCAGCTCTGCCCGGCTCAGGACGCGGCAGGGGCGGCGGGAAGACCCCCAGGCCGCGCAAGGCGTGGGGCTCAGGCCTGAGTGCAGACCCGTGGCTGCCGGCCGAGCACTGGGGCTACTTCCTGGGCGTCTGTCCTCAGGGTTCCCAGCCTCAGGGCGAGGGCAGCACGCCAGCGGGGGCCGTCTCCCCGGGTCTCAACTCAGGGTCCCCAGGAGCTCAGGGACTCAGGCCACGCAGCCGGCTCACCTGACCTGTAGCTGCTCCGCAGGCAGAAGAGCCGGAAGACGTCGGGAGAGGCGGACCGGAGGAAGTCCTGGGGGGGCACACGGGTGAGACCAGCCACTGACCCCCTGGATGGACGGATGTTTCTCTGCACCGCCTTCCCCCACCCACCTGTGGCCACATCTGCCCCGCGCTGTGCCTGCTCATCTGGCCAGAGGGCCGGCGGCCTGGCTCACCCCGGGGAGGGCAGGCGTAGCTGCCCGTATTTCAGTGTGATCAGCGCCTGTCTGAATCCTGCAGACTGCACTCTACTCAGAAACACTGAGCCCTGGGAACGGTCCCCAGGCCTCACCAGGCCACCCCCGGTATCCACGCGAAGACCCATCTGACCTGGTTATCTCAGCGTCTACGTCCGCCTCCTGACGTTACCTCCCGGAGTGTGGAAAAGGGGTCTTTCCTGGTCCTCTTAGCCCCCCAAACCCGCCAAGTGGAGGCCCACCCGGGGACACTGCAGTCTGCACGTGAATTGACGCAGTCCCGGCCCGAGTGCAGCGGCGACCACAGCGACCGCGTCAGGAAGGGGAAGAGACCGGGGACCTGGGGTGGGGCCTCCCGCTCAGGGCAGCCTCCACGACGCGTCAGGAACGCGGGGGCCCCGAGAGGCACGCTACCTTAATGGTGACGTAGTTCTTCAGCGACTTAGACATCTTCTCTCCTCCGCCCTTCACGTGCAGGTGCCCTGAAACGAGAGCGTGCTCACTCGGTCCTCACCAGGCGGGAACGAGGAGCCCTTCCTGGAGCCCAGCCTCCGAGGACCCCGCCCCGCTCACTGCCCCTCGTGGGCGCCAACACAGGACCCCCCGACCCGCCGCCCAGGAAGGGGCCACGGCCACTGGCCGGGCATCACAACGCGAGGACCGCCCTCCCCCTCCCACGACTCAGCCCCCGGGGGGATGCCCTCTGCTTCCCCCCAGAGCGCTTTCCCGCGGCAGCTGTTTCACCGACGTGTCCCCGCCCTGGCACCGTCTCACACACACACCATCCT